TTTATCCTACCCCCAGCTTTTCCAGCATCTGCGATAGCTAATAAGATAAAAAAGCATTCAAATGTCTAGCAGAACAGCCCTCCAATACCACACAGTAATAGTAAGTAAGCCAGCATGTACTCTACAAGCTGGATTTTGATGCTTCCGGAAAGTGGCCTGGTTTTTGCTGCACTCTAGTAGAGGAAATTGAGTCTCATGGCAATTACTGGTAAAACTTAAAAACTGATTTTACTGACTTAAATATGAAAAAGAATAATATCATTATGCTACAGATGCTCTCTCTCTCCATCCCCATGTATTTCTTGTACAAGTGTGTTCCCTTGTCTTTGTCCAGCTCAGAGGAAAACTTTCCTGTGTTCAAAAGTCTCCCCCTACTGGCTGACAGTACCAGCAATGCAGTAAAATCTAACTGTCATTGTACAGCTTAAGTAGTTAAAACCATTTCTGCTAAAGATTTTCATTATGGGAAATGGGGAACCAGTGAGAGAGCAGAACACAGGGCGCGTGTTAGAGGTGTGCTGTGTGGCCAAGCAGACAAGTTGCTGCCTTTAACATCATCTAACTCCTTCACAGGCTACATGACTTTGCTATTATGTTTAGAAACAGATCAGAGATCACAAAAAATGTGGATATCTGTGGTCATGTCCATGAAAAAAAAAAAATAAGAAGAGTACACGCCTTATGAGTCATCGCCATAAGGAAGTCAATTTTTCCCTCTCATTGCCTTCAATATTATGGTACTCAAATGGTACTGGAGGAGTCCTCAAAGTTAGATGCAATAAATGAGAGAACAGAGGCAATGAGATCTTACAAGGCACTGACAAACGTGAAAAAAAAGTAAACACAAAAACCCAAAAACCAGTGCTTTCCAGAAGAGAAAGCACATTAGTTTGACCCGACTCCCCAGAGCCTGTATAGATTGGGTGCTTCAGCAGGGCTTTTTGGTGCTTTTATCTAAAGCTGATTCAATCAGCTATTGGATAAAATCACCAAAAAAACACCACTGAAGTGCCTGATCTATACAGATGTTGGACAAGCCAGGTCAAACTAACGCGATGCCTCTCTGGGCATATGCTGCACTCAGCATGGGGGCACACCAAGCTAAAAGTAAAGCGCTGTGTTCTTGGGTTTTTCCTTCCACATCTGTAAGAAGCCACAAACAGTTTCCCTTCTTCAATCAGGCCTGTTTTCAATCTTTAGTCAGCTACTTATATGAAGTTAGCTTTTATTTCTGCATACACACCAAACTTTCAAGATAATTCAGCAAACTGCTAAATAAAGACATCAAATTACATTAAATCATTTAAAAAAAAACCCTGTAAAATAGCTCATGTCAAATATCCATGAATTGGGATCATTATTATACAACAGTAATTATTTAACCAAGTTTAATTAAAGGAAGCACATATTTAGAAGAGAAAATACAAATAATGAAGTAATTATCTACTAGTAGGAAAAAAAGCACACAAACAGGTTTTGAAGTGACCAACATTCTTACCTCTGATATCACCACCAGCACAAAAAGCCTTTCCTCCAGTTCCCTTAATAAGGATTAGAAAGGTTTCAGGGTCTGCTTCCCATGTCTAAGGAAAAAGAAATATTCCCTAATATGTAAAAACAAAAACAACCTCCCTCTCGCCCCACAAAAAAAATAAATACTAGCACAATGAAAACCATTCTCAAACGCTGTCCATCTATAATGGGGTTTTTGTTTTCTTTATCATCTTCTGGCAAAACAAACCAAATTTCAACCAAGCTCTACAAACGTGCAATATCAACCCCTGAAAAATACACTCAGGGCAAACAAATCTCTCCACTGGGCATCATCAACTTCTGTAGGATCTATGCATTCGGTTTTAAAAAATAAGTTTCTATCACTTCAAGTGAACTTCACAAAGTAAGCAAAACTGAAATTGAAATCCCTGCAGACAGATCTCTGAATTGCATCCCTACCATCAGAGGAACAGGGGAAGAAAGAAAGAGCATGCATAACAGCACATGGTCCCTTCCAAGTGGCTGGGAGAAAGGAAGGGCTACCACTGTCCCCATTTGTGGATGGGACACCCTCAAACAAGTGCCTTTGAAGGATCTCTCTGCCATGATACCTCATCACCACACGTGAAGGTTGTATACATTTTAAGTGGTATTCCTGTGGCGGGCCTCTGGGAGACCAGGATCTTAAGAAAACAAGCAACAGGTATCAATCTGGCAGGAAGAATGTGTCTTAAGCAAGCCACAGATTTCAGCTGAGGAAGTATAGTAAAGCAGATTTTTCTACAGGCTTGGGGTTTTTTTCCACTGATGTAATTTATATCAGCACAAACCCCTCCCCAGTATTGATGCAATTACATTAACATACAGGTGCCTCACTTCAGTATGGTTTATTGCCCTTCTTGCAGGGGAATAAATTATAACAATTAGAAGTGCACCAATACATCAGTCCATATCATATTGGTACCAATAAAAGAAAAATTGACATTACCAGCAATCAGCTTTTTTTTGCTGATGTGACTGATAATGTCGCCGCTAAATGCTGAGTGCATGTGGGCAGCTGCAGCATGCACACAGCCAAGAATGCAGCCCAGCAGCTTGGAAAGCAGCAGCCAGCCCATAAGTCTGTGGGGGGAAAGTAGCATGGGGGGGGCAGACTGAGGCCCCTGTGGTGAAGGAGGGAGAGTGGGGCTAAGGCTGGGGCAGGATGGAGTCAAGGGCTTGTCTGGGGAGTGCAAGGCAAGGGTGGGCCGCCAATGGTCGCTCACTCAGGGGCTGCACCAGGCTCTTCCCGGCGGCTGTGCTCAGGGTACAGGGAGGGGCAGGCAGCAGTGGCACGGGGAGGGGACCTACAGGGAAAGTAGAGCCAGGACCATAGCCCTCCCTGCCCCCCCTTGTCACCCTCCCAGGTCTGCTACCACTCACCCCATCCAACCCTCTCTGCCTGGCCTGAGCACAGCTACCAGGAAGAGCCCGGTGCAGCCCCCAAGCACATGTGCACAGCAACAACCTGCCCTTGCCCTAAACACAAAACTGGGGGGCACATGCCCCCCGTGCCTCCCCCAGGAGTGCATGCAGCAGTAAGAGCTACCCCATCCCCGCTGCCCCCAGACAAGCTGCCAGCTCAGTCCCATGCCCCCACCTCAGCTGGGTAATGCCTACCTCTGCCCCACTCCTTCCCTCACTGCGGGGGCCTCGATCTGCACCCCCCCATGCTCCTTCACCTCCGACAGACTTACCAGCCAGACACTGCTCTACAAACTGCTGGGCTGCATATCAGCAATTGGATCGGTATTGGCTGATATAGTTGGCCAATAATCGGTCATCAGTATCAGCCCCAAAAATCTTTATTGGCGCACCCCGAATAATAATAAGCAAATTTATACTAGAACATAACTATATTTATATAATTCAAGAAGCACAACTTACATGCTTAAGTGAAGCCCTAATGCTTGAGCTAGATATTAAAACAGGGGGATCACATTATTGCCATGTATGCAGCACTGTTGAGCATTTCACTGAAATAGATAGCTGGGGGGAGGTGGAGGGGGAAAATCATCATGTAAGTAAATTTGTTTATATATAGGCTGCAGACCAGCATGGCACCTGACTTTAAGCATGAGTAGTCACATTGAATTCAGTGTGATTACTTATGTTCAAAGCCTGGTATGTGTACTTAATAACTGAATGTGTACTGAATAAAGAGGGGTAGTTAAAGTAAAGCCACTGACCTTTAACTGCAGATAAA